ATCCTCTCAGTCTTTCTGGTTCCAAAGTTAGCGAATTCTACCGCCAAAGATTTTCATGGGCCGTAATTGAGAACCACGTCCCGTTGGAGCCTCAACTTGAAGTTTAAAGTTGTAGATGGGTTGGAAACATCCCCTCAAAATTTCAGCCTCCCAGTTTCCCTGGTTTCCGAGCTAGCTATTTTCCTCCCAAAAACTTTCACGAGGCCGTACGTGGGAGCCAAGCGCGCCTGGGGACTGAATTTGAAATCTTTGAGTTCTATGTGAACGGGGAACATAATCTCAAAATTCTAGCTTTCTAGCTTTTCTGTTTCCCAGGTTTCCCACAAAAAATTTCGCGCGCTTATACGGGCATGAGAACCCAATGACAAGAATCTAGCGTCGGAGATTGCTTGCTTGCCAGGTTGAAATACCCGGACAGACGAACATACACACACACACACACACACATACATCCGGGTCGTTTTTGCATTTGTATATACGCAAAAAAGTATGAAAAAGCGAGCGTTCCGCAACAAACTTGTTTTGGGGTGACGAAATGTGCAGGAAAAGCACAATACTTCAGTATTTACGAAGTCATTGAATACTTATGGGCATCGCTGTTACTTTAGTCGGAATACGTACGTTTCAGTTGGCGGTGCAAAAGATTCTGCAAAACATGGTGCTGAAAAAACGATGGATACTTTGCGCGATGCTGGTATGTATGTTCTCAGTAACTCTCTTCCCTTGTGCAATCCAATTACCGAATTGGCAATAACTGATACAAAAAGTGACCACATAAAAAGTAATCGTAAAAAGTGGCTGGAACTGCCCTAGAGAGCGTTCTGTTTGTCTCAGTATTATGACCAAAGGTCTTTCAGGATATCATGCAAAAGATGCATACGATCAACGTTCTGACAATTATTACCACCACCATCATGATCAGGATTTTGATTCTGGACTTAGCGATCGTCAGCATCATTCTCTCTTGTATCAAATCGGTACTTTTCATTCCTCAGAAAACCGTTGCGCAAGAGCAATTTCACCAACAGCTAATGTAGATGTGCAGGATTTTTTTGCGCACTTTCGCATCTTGCTGTACATCAGAATTCCCTTCCGAAGTTATCTTAGACAGTAGCAGTATTGCGTAGGGCTAGTGAAGTCCATAGTAAGACTGCATCGGCGTGTAAGTGCATCGCACTAGCACTGAATTTTCACACCGATTGTCCTGGCGAGATTGCTCTCTTGGCTCTGGATGTCGTAACTTTTTTGGCTGCAAATAATTAACAGCATTGAAACAAGCACTCCTATTAAACTAATTTTGCACTTAGTCCATGTAATGAATGAAAATTGAACATAAAAGTCCAAATACGCGAAGCTTTACAAATTCCGCATTTTTCAGTATTTCTTACAGCTGCTTTAACTTGATATGTGTCGAGTCTTTTGGGCGCAGGCTGCTTCATAAGCAGCTTTCGGAAGAACAAAACATATTTCAGTTAATGCATAGTTCATTGGAGCTTATTTGTTTCAGACAAGTCGATGTGGCATTTGCCTTGCTTCCTGCTCACGATGGGTACCATCGGCTGCGCACTTTTCGCATATCAGGCATACGAACGATACGAGCAGCAGCGTCGTCGTGGTGCCACACCAGCACGGCGTAATACTTTTCCACTTTAATGTTTCTGGCTTCCAGACATTTTGGTGTGCTGCTTTCTTAATAAAATTCATTGGAGGTGTTGTCGAAACATCGGAACAAACACGTGTCGAGCCAGGCTCGCATTCACGAGGCACCAATCCACGACACACACACACAATTGATGAAGGTCAGTTTTTTTTCTTTTTTTTTTCTTACTTTTGCTTTAGTTCATTTCTGTGAGAAAATTTCAAATTCTAGAAAAGATGATTTCCTGTATCAGTTGACGATGCGTATCGTATTTGGTTGCATTTCCAGGAGTGTTTTTCAGAGCACGTCCGACGTCGTGAGGTGCATTAAATCTGTTCGGTAGAGCGGGTCTTCACATCGAAATTTTGTTCACTATTTCAAAGTGTTATTTGTAAACACGGATTATGTGTAATTTTTGAGCCCGAAACAGCTTGTGTAAATTAATATATTCATATATTCACTTCTTTTGTACGTTTGTAGTGGCTACTTTCTCAATGAAATGATTGTGAATTCGTTTGAACCTTTAGATTACGGCTCGTTTTATTTAAGAATTTTGTTTTCTGCGGAATTTTTCCATTTGATATCTATCCTCACATGGCTGGGATTTGATGTATTCACTCGATATTGGTGTTGTGTTTTGTGCTGCGATAAAAAATCTGGTGTACTTTTTGCATGGCATTGAATAAGCGCGCATATATGCATTTTTTCTTGAGAAATGCGGACAACAACAGAGGGAGAGGGAACAAGAGGGAAGGGGTGTGTTTAAAATTCTGCTTGGGAGTTTTTATAATTTGTTTGAGAAGTGACCTACGTATGTTCATGAACGCTGCTATATTATCTCGTAACTAGAAATGCTACGGTCTTAAAAAAGAGCGATTTCTGAGTTGGTTCCTTCTTTTCTTCCTCATCGAATTGTGGTACTGTACACAAGAGTTAGAGACATTATACTTGGGTGATGCCAAAATTGGAATGAAAAAGGCAAAATGACGAATTTGATTAAGCGTTTATGCTAGCGAGCGAAGAAATTTGAGTGTAGGATCTTTTGGCCGTTGAATACGGAAGTGTCGTTCAACTGCTAAATTTTGCAAGGAATTTTTCCCGAGTAAGCGCTCAAATTCATTTGGTAGACCAAGAGGTTGCATATTTGGTCGTTTATAATGAATGCTGTAACGTTGATTGGAAAGTGAAAACGAATGCGGCCATAGCGAACACAGACGCAATATGAGACGTAATTCCGCAAGTCTTCAGAGTTTCCCCTATGCCAAGTTTCAAGGTAAAAAAGACCGATCTGCAAAAAGAATGTTACAAAATTTATGAGGCACAATGACCGTTCCAGCTAAGCCATCAGTAACACTACAACTAAATTAGCACGTAATGGATGAATTAACACTGACCAGCACATTTGTTTTTCCTGCACGCGAATTTGTCAGCAGTTGAGCAACTGCATAAAGTATATGTAAACACAGTCGGAGATACGCTATACTGTGCGCTTCATTTGTGATGGATGTTTGCACGTAAACAAGGTGTGTCAACAGGCCCACAAACTGTTAGGAACGCTAGAACTAACAAAATAATGTGAAAGGTAGTAAGGGAGCTTTCGGGGTTCCACCTTAAACCTTTTGTTCGTATAAGGGAAAGAGGAGAATCGTTATGATTTGCAACCCCTTCAATATTTAGGACCCATTTTAAACAGTCCAAAGTCAAAACTCTCTC